AGCAGTTAAGTAAAACTAGAGGTACTGTGAGCAATGAGCTTACTAAATGCTACCCCCGCCTCCCATATAAGTATAATTACAAAGTCCATGTTTTCCTGTAGCCGGGAAACCCAAAATATGTATCAGATCAAAAAATAAAATAGGAGGTGCACAATGGCAATATGTAATTAAGATTCTGTAAAAGGTTTCATTAATTTCACTCAGTGGTATAACGAGAGTTGCGGATAATACATGGGTACCCAAAGCGTAACAGACAAACGGACGGACAGCTTTTAAGCGGGGGTTATAATAAAAGTCTGATAAGAATTTAGGGATGAGATTATCAACATGGTTTTCGATCAATTTCGACAGATGTGGGAGGAAAGATAATGTCCTATGATTACCAGGATCAAGTCTCCTTTTCTGTAAATGTGCGTTACCTTTGCAAATTTTAATTCATTCCTTTAGAAATACTGACATTGATAAAATGAGTGATAGATTTGTGTTTTTCTTTTGCAGCGAGTTTTAGCAGGCGTGTACCTATGGTATCGGCACCAGCCGATTTTTAAAATCAAGTTCGATTAATAATTGCATCTTTCCAGTTTAAAACCATCTTAAAATCAAAAGGAGTTTCTAGTTGGATGAAAAATATGGAGATAACGAACAGAAATCAATCGTAAAAGACCACTTAAAATTACAAATTTTGGAGCAGAGCAAACACAAACCTCTAAAATCTAAGAAGTTGGATCATATAGGAGTGAGCACCCTCTGCCAAACGCTCACACTCGATGTGTGCTCCTTGTCATAATCGGACAATAACGAGAAAATCCAAAATTCTATCGACAATACAGTTTGTAAATAATAGTTTTAAATTGGTACAAAAACTGTCAGTCAGCATTTGATTAATTGATAGATTGTATATGCTGACAAGGTCATTTATCGACCATATAATTTAGGAAATTGTGACTTTATTTTTTAAAAAAAAGACGTAAATGGTAGTCTAATAACCAAGCTCTATGCATGAAATAAATTCCAGAAAACAACCCTTATTCAATTTTAACTTTTTCCGTACATTTATTGTATATTTGTATATATCAAAACTCCTGCTGGCGTTACAGAAAAAAAATATTATTAGGTCTTAATGTTAAACTATGTAATAAGGTTCCACATGATAATTTTTCGATGTTATTTGAAAGCTCTCGAGATTGCAGAGGCAATCCCTTATAAGGGAGCGTAAGTTTAAGGAAGCGTGGCTTTTTTTCAGTAAATGATGGATGCTGCAGTATGGAATTTTAATGAAGAAATTTTGTGATTAATGTAATTTCAAAGTATTTACTTGTCTAAAGAAATTTGCATCATTATGTGTTTTAAATCTACATTTCACTTACCTCCGAGTACTAAACAAGTTTAAACATAGCAGCATCATAATATTGGGCATTAATAGAAAATTATAGCAAACATTATCTAAGTTCTGCAAAAATCATTTCGTCTTTATTATTGCATAATAAAAAAGTTTAATTCAAATGGATATTTTTGGCTAGTTTATCAAATGTTCTTGTGTCCTATATGAATTGCTTTATTAATCATTTTTATTTTGTCTGATATCGTACGCCGGAACTGTGGAGTAAATATAAACTTGGATTTTAAGAACTGAAATGTTAAGGATATACTAGTATTGTAACAAAAACAACAAAATATGTGATAACAAAACATTTTAAAGTGTCTAATTCATGTGTGTTATAATAACAAAAATATTCAAATATGTTTCAACACAATAAGAATAAATTACACAAAAATATTACGTCGTGAAAACAAATATATTTATATACAGCTTAGGGCACTTTTTAGCTCACATGGTTCTTCGCACAAATTAAGGTCACATCGTTACAATGTACGTGTGTGTAACGATAAGGTCACATCGTTACAATGTACTAGTGTAACAAGGCAATACAATATATCTTACAAGTGATTTATAACTTTTTTTAATGTTATTTCACCTACTTTAGATATAATTTATGTACATTGATAAGTTAGACTTTGATATGCTCTTTGCTGATGGGTTATGATAGTTTCCGAGTGGATTTTTTAGAGTTTCTGGTCAAATGTAGCCGTCTTTCTATCTGTTCTTTTGTTAACAGTTCTTTGCCTTGCCTAAACACAAAAACAATGCAGCTCCTTTTAAGATGTGCTCGGTGTTGTCTACGTCCTTCTAAGATGTGCTCGGTGCTGTCTACGCCTACCTAAGATGTACTAGATGCTGTCTTCATTCCTCTTAGATGTGTTCGGTGTTGTCTACGTTTTTCAAAAGATGTGTTCGTTGTTGTCCGAAAATATTAATTAAAAAATAAATAATGCAATGATGATGTATTGTGTTACATTAGCATTTGGAGGCTAATGTGTCAAAGTTGAAAAAAATAATATATTCTAAATAATTTCTGAGAATCATAATAATGTCATCAGACAATTTTTTCTTATTTTTATTTCGAAATAACTGATTTTCTTCATTCAGGAAAATATATGTATATATATATATATATATATATATATATATATATATATATATATATATATATATATATATATATATATATATATTTGGAAGTAGACATTTAAGGTCAATGAATTGATCATTCCAGATTTTATTTTTTATGCGAACTGGAACGTTAGCACCCAAAGGAATACCATTGTCAACTGATAATGGGGTAGAATGTGTGCTGTTACCATTACATGTATCTGCCTCTGACTCACCTGAACCTGAAAATAACTGTTGCAGGGTGTTTACCAAATTTAGACTACTTGGATCGCTAGAAGAGGTACTTGATGCAGAGGGTACAGCCTGTGAAGTAGAGGGAGTAGCCTGAGAAACGATATTATTTGAGGAAGCACTGCTTGGTGTCAAAGCCTGTTGTTGTCTAAGAATTGCTGCTGCAAGCTGGTCATAGTCAATTGGAGGGTTGTTGTTGCAGCTCGCTTGAGTAGCTGATGAACTGGCATCAACTGCGTTGCCCAATGCCGAGTCTACAGGGGGTGCCTGAGCTGGTTGGCTGCGTAGTTTCATCCTCTTTTTTGGTGGCATATTTTCTACAATAAGTCTGAGCAGTTGTAATTGCCATAGGTGTTAATATAATCATGATCAAAGTATTAATAATGTTAGCCATTCAGCTATAAGCACATGTTATGCACCAACATGTTACATATTTTCCATCTTTGTCATTTGTAAATAAATTGTTTATAAGGCATTTGAGCCAATCATATCACATAATAATTGTCAGCTTGAAAACAGGTCATGTATATGGTCAAATCAAAATTCATCATAAGTTGCAGCTCATAAAAAGGAAAAACAAAAACAAAAAACCTGTGCTCATTCCACTAACAATGGAAATGCACTAGAAAAAACAAACCTAGCTGCATTTAACATCATAGTGACAATGACAGCCAACTCTCTTATGTTATAAATAAATAAATTCCTCCCGACCTTCATTATATATCGGGAAGGTAAAGAAAATTAAGCTGTCACCGTCATATGCATAAAAAACATTGGAAGGCAACCACTTTATAAATAAATAAACAGATCTTCCCAACCTTCATTAGATATTGGGATGATTAAGAAAAACAAACTCCTTTTTTTTAAATAAACAAACAGATCTTCCCAACCTTCATCAGATATTGGGAGGATTAAGAAAAACAAACTGGAGCCTTCATAAACATATGGTGGAATCAATGACGATTCCCAAGGAATCAACTGAAGATTCCCCAATTCTGACCGATACTGACACTGACCGCATGACAATAAATCAGGCGACATAATGTGCAGAAACATGTCGAGGTTTACATTGAAATTAAATAAGCATTCAAGCAATTGCCAATATCATATTTATACGAGGGTTGTTCGAAAAGTTCGAGGACGATGTCAATCTTCGTTATATTACTCACCAGAAATTTTAAATTAGCACAATATGATATGTAAAAATATTTGTTTTGTTGATGTGTGAAGTTTCATTCCATTCGATTTAATAGAAATCATTTTACTTCAATTTAAATTCAACATGTTTTGTACCCGCGGAGCACACTGAACGGCAATGTAACGTCAAAACATAGCGTCAAGAATTTCTAAAAATAAAAATCCCTTTACATTTCACACAGTACAATCCAATGCCCACTCATTTAATCCTTTTTCTAATACTTTACATTTATTTTTTAAGAATTGCTCTTATAAGATAATTTACTTTGTTAAAGTTTTAATTTCTTTTATTACTTAACTTTGCTTTCACAGGACAAGCAACTCTGAAGCGCCTATGTCTTTCTTTGACGTTCCAACTTTTTAGAATTATTGGTAAGATTTTTACAGTTAAACCGTTTCTTCAAGGATTGTTCTCATCCGAGACAGAGTCTCTGTCACTCATATACTGCTCGTACTATTTGTACACACAAGCACAACTCGCTGGTGACATATTTTCTTGATTCCTCCAACATTTTTAGAGTTTATTCAGGATTTTTCCTGAGAAAAACACAAAAATGCATCTTTATCTTCTGCTCCGTGACGTTCTAAAACGTCATCGTTTTTGCCATTTTCAATAAGGACTACCTATCTTCTCAAGTTGATTTCTTTTCAACAAAGCAAAATATAAAGCCATAATTTGGTATACGAATCGATGTAACAATTCTTAATTTGAATTTCTATGTTGTTTTCGTTTTTCCTCCATTTTACAGAGAATATGACTACAGACATTATTTAGTGTATTGTCTGTAACTTACTAAATTTTGACCTGCTCCGCAACCCGATTTTTGCATTTTAAAAATCTGAATAAATTTTGAATTAATCGTAATATTTTGAAAAAAATTAATACAAATCATTTGGATTTACTGTTAAAATATTTCTACCAAATTTGGATAACATATGACGTCAAATAAAAAAGATATGACAGTTGTCCACGAACTTTTCGAACAACCCTCGTATATTGAAAAATATAGCAGAAACATATTGCAAAATTTCCATCACATGCACAGTCATTTATCAACATATGTGCATGTTTTACTTATCCTTTTCTCCCACCCTGGCAGATGGGAGGCATGGAGGACAGCACTCTTATGCTCTGGAGGTATTTCCTCATGACCCGGTGATCGTGACTGCTGTCTTTGAGGTGGACCCCATCGCTGGCCAAGAATTTCATTTCTGGATCCCAGAAGTCGTGATGGTGCCAGAACAAAATGTTGCTGGTAGATCGGTGGCACTGATCATGCAGGAGTTTATTAGTGTCAATCACTTTAAAATTATAGTGGTATACTTTGGATGGATGTCTGCGTAATAACTGTCCAATTATTACAAAGGAAAATTTGTTAGTTAACAGTAAGAATTGCGCTAACGACATAATATTCCGAGCGACCTTGTTTGGTGTTGCTTGTGGATTTGACAAATCATTCCCGCCAATTTGCATAAAACAAATGGCGCCCTCAATACGTATGCCCTGAAAGTTTTTGCAATTCTCGAGAGTTGGCTAGATCTTGTGTCTTGAGGCCGCCCCTGGCTCTAATTAACACTTTAAATTTATCTTTATATAGTCGTAAGTTATCAAAATCTGGTTCAACTGCATAAGTTTGCATCAAAATTCCGAGTCTCCTGATGAAGGAATGACCTATCACCACCACTGTGCGCGGTTTTGGATCATCAGTACTTGCCGCCTCCATGCCGACTTATACATTCAGACAATGAATCAAAGGTTCAAATAATTACGCACCTTAGATAGTGTCACAGCAAAATATAACTGTATATTAAATGATGAAATCGATATCCTTGTGTTTCTGCTGTTTAAAAATTTAATCACAACCTCGTGTTTCCACAGTCAAATATAATGGCCGATCACGCTGAACCCGATCTTAACAGGAGTTTATTTTTATGTCAAAACAATAAGTCGAGAACAACTGTAATTTCGTCTTTGTCAAACAATGTAAAAAAGATTGCATATAAAATATTTTATGGAACATAAAATTTTATATATATATATATATATATATATATATATATATATATATATATATATATATATATATATATATATATATATATATATTTATTATATATATATTCCATATTTTAAAGATAGCAAATCATTAAAAAAAAACACTTAGTAACATCACGCATAACAGGTGTTATTTAAGTGAAAAAACAGCGAACTTTTTGTTGTTATAGTTTAAATTACAGTTTCAAAAAAAACATTTATGACAATTCATATACTAACTTCAATAAAATCGATACTTAAACTGTAAAATATAGAGTACGTAACAGTTAGCCAATCGCTTTTCAGGCATTGATGAAGGTACGACATATATATTTGGCTGTTGGAAGTCCATTTGGCAAAATTTCACAGATTAACAAGAACGCAGCAGTCTTTTCTTGAAAGAAGAAGAAAAAATGAGCAGTCTGTGTGTTATCTCCTTAATTGTCGGGTTCTTGGCTTTATCTAAAGGGACCATTATTTCTCAGAAATATACCGCAAAACTTGTATTTGATGATAAGAAGTCAAAATGCTCATACATTGACAGAGTGCGCCGTGATGTGTCAAAGGGAGTGCGTCTTCTTTGGTTTTAACTCGCAAACGAAGAAATGTCGTACCCACAAGAAAAGTCTAACGTCTGAGCTGTCTGCGGAGGCCGGATGGAGATACTACTTGGATGACTGTATGTATTACATCTTATTTTTTTTTCTTTCTGTTTGCTTCTTTATTTTTTAAGGTCCCTCTCAAAAGACAGCATTTTTTCTTTTGACATTTCTTTTTAAGTGGTATAAGTGTATTTTCATCATAATTTGCAATAATATTCACTTAAGCTTTGTGACAAGGATCATTCTAAACCATTAGAAAATTATAAATTGTAATTAACTTAAAAAATCAACGTAAAAGAACTCACCTTCAGCTAGTTTCTTGAAATTGCTATCTTGTAAACAGCTGTCCTGAAAGCTGAGATGTGAATCTTGTGCCATAGAGAAGTAAACATCCTCTGTAGATCGGTCAGTTCCACCGTATGTTTCCTGTCCTGATCTGAACACGGAAAGTTTTAGGACAAATCATTGTAAAAATATAGGCCTTACAATCTATTAAAAACGTCAGTTTGAATTTGATAGGATACACTGTGTTGGAAAACATGCTTATTGTATCGACCTTAGAATTTACGAAATGTTAAAATTTCACATACATTATATCATACAAAAAGAAGATATATGATTTTACTGGACTTTTCAACATCTATTCTAATTTCCAAATTCTTTATCATCTGATTTGCAAATGGATTCCTCTTTGACATTTCTTTTAATCAACAGAGCATTGAAAATAGTTGTATTTTATTTTAAATACTTTTAATTATGTTATAAATCAGAGATTTATAGCAATTAGAAAACAAGAAAAAAAAGATTTTAGATAATGGAGAACTGTTTAACATAATCTGCATTGTACATGTAGTTTACATTTTAGCTTGGACAATTAATCTTAGAATATAAGGCAGGTATAATGTATCCTACCATTTTTTGCACATATTCATTGTGGTATTTTTTATAGTTATTCCTGTAGATTGTATTTTTTTTCTGTTTTAGTTCTCCCTAGAGATTGTAAGGATCTTCACGAGGACGGACAAAACATTACAGGGGTGCATGATATATACCCCTACAGTACCTTAACCATCCCAGTCACTGTCTACTGCGACATGACGACAATGGGCGCGGGATGGACGGTTTGTTGTTTATTCTAAAATTAAAAACGAATAATATATCTCACGTTGTTTTTGTTGTTTTCGGGATTGTTGGATAAATATTATTGTGAATATTTTGAGTTTATATCATAGTATATGATATTTTGTAGAAATAAATTGATTGTTATGCATATAAATTTCACAGGTAATTCAGAAACGCATAGACGGATCCGTGATCTTTGACAAGAACTGGACAGAATACAAAAATGGTTTTGGTTCACCAGAACAGAATGTCTGGGTTGGTAAGTGTCCATCTATTTCAAATTAGAAATATTTTATTCCTTCAAAGCTTGAGAAAAAATATCTTGTGGTAGGAAAAAAATAATGAATTTAGAACCAGGTAATGTGTATTCTACGATATTAACATATCGTGTTTAATTGATATCTCAAATATTAGAAAAAAAAGAAGAGAAGAAAATCATTGAGCGGCATATTTTTATGAGACCAAATTTTGTATTATTGTCTACAGCCAAGGAAAATAATTTGATCTTTTCATTACGGTAGATTCATATTTGTAATTGAATTAATTGCATTGCAATGGACTTTTTAGCTGATTTTAAATATTTCAATACAGGGAATGACGTAATACATCAATTAACCAAAGAAAACTCCTCTCTTTATGTTTCCATCACTCTCCAGAATGGCACAACGCTTTATGAAATGTACGACGGATTCTCTGTCTCCAATGAAACAGAGAAATATCAACTCTTTCTTGCAGGACCTGCCACGGGAACATTAGGTAAGTGTATCCACTTTTGATCGGAAACATATTCTTATTTAAAAAAGCAACAAACCTCAACGTGTTTCTCTTAAACATTTTTTCTATCAATGAAAATCAGCTGTGATATTCAATCATTCATAGTTGAACTAATAGGGAATAGAAAGTTTACAGACGGTCATTAATCTTAAATGTCAAACAGTTTACGAAAATTTGGTGATATAAAAATTCTTCAATCGGAAACATTCAAAATTCAAAATATGAAAAAGCTAAATTCAAGCATCTCAGTGCGTTTCACATTTACAATATGTATTTTTATTTGATGAATCTATATTATTATTTAAAATATTTACAGGTGCAGCATATACCAACTCGTTATAATTTTGAATGATATATTACGTATTGCATTTTATACATTTTTAAAGGCATGGTTTCTGGCATATACTATTTTTTTCATTTATTCATGTTTTCTAAGATTTTCTGCGACCTTTACATCCCTCCAAATATATATAAAGGTGTCACAGGTGCTTTCAAAGTGTAAAACGCCCGTGGTTTATTGTTCCACTAGAAAGGATGTTATGTGAATTGTGCAGAATTTTTTATATAATTATCTCTCTTTACAGAAAACAACATGTTTTAAAAACTGGGTATATCAGACGTACTTCAGTATTAAAATCAATGTGATATAAATTAATAATTGTCATCTTTGTTCTATATTCTCTCTAATTCTGCAGGTGCCAGTATGATAGACACCTAAAGCCGTCTATCTTAAAAGTAGCTCTTTATTGTTATTAACAATTAGATTGAATAAATATGAATCCATCATCTATGTGATTCCTTTTGTTTACTTCTACAGGTGACGCTATGTTACACACAGGTTCTTCTGGCAATAATCTTTTTGGGATATCCTTCTCCACTCCGGACAGAGATAATGACAGGGCTAGTTATAGCTGTGCTGCTGCCAGTTACATTAGAGGAGGCTGGTGGTTTAACCACTGTCACTACGCCTTCCTTAACGGTCCATGGTCCCCGGGGTCCTGGCACCACCCATGGTATCCTACACTAGAGTGGGGGACATCAGTGAAGGGGACCACCATGATGATCAGACGGAACTAGGTAAACATCATTAAATCAATATATAACAGAGTGTTTTATTTTTGTATTACTATGAAAATTTCAGTTATAAAAGTTGTTTTTAAATAGAAAAAATGTGCTATTATACATGTATGTGTGTAGTGTTACTTATTTTTTTAACAGACGAAAGATCATCCATGGATTACGCAAACCCTCAAGAGACGATTTTAAATTAATTTCCATCACTGAGTTCTTTTTTTTAAATATCTAACATAAAGCAACAAACATGAAAACAAATATGTTTTCGGTAAATGATGGAGGGTTGAACTATTCTGTGAAGCAATACTGAAAGTATTCAGTAAAAGATGTACTTTATATGTGTTGTAATAAATTTGAAATTAGAAATATTTCGTTTTTTTTTTTACAAACACTGATAAATGAAGATGTCTGGATGGAGAATTAAGATGATGATTACTTTATTGTAAAACCTATTACGGTGGAACCTGTTTAATCTGACACCTCTGCAATACGTTTTACTATGGTGTCCACCATTCCATTTCATTTCTCATTTATACTTATGTCAATAATCTTTACACGCTCCAATACTGCACCCTTGTTTATTCCGACACATACATCTGTAATCTCTCTCCCCCTGCATGTCGGATAAGAAAGGTTTCATTGTAATAAAGATGTTAAGGTGTTTATAAACAACATAGGTATATTTGAGGGTCATGTTTTGAAGAACAATACATCTAAAATTATACTTATCTAAAAATATTCCGATCTTTTTCCATCCATGCAATATTTTTAAAGGATGAGCATTTATTTAAGGAATGAATCTAATTCTTGGTCATATTATCGTGTATAATCTGGTTTATAGTTTTAATATTTTTTTTCTCATTTATACACAACAAGATTGCCAATTTTCCTTAGTATTAAGAATAGAATTTAAAATTGTGAAACTGTAAGGATGTGTCAATCAAACCAGCCAAAAATTCAATTTCTAATAGCTTTTGAATGAAATGATATTTTTAATTTATTTTTTGTGTAAAATGCTATACAAATTTACATGTCGTAATACTATTAAAAAAATATTAATATTAAATCTCTGTCTATTGTCCATGCACTTTTAAAGGTACATTTATTAAGGTGATTCGAACCTGTCGTGAAAGTAATTGGAATTTTAAAAGATGGTTACCTTCGGATAAAGGACAAGTTTGTGGTGTAAGAATCATAAAAAAAATATATACGTTAATGCGCTCGTTTCCATGGCAACAACCTCTGACTATGCCCTTGTTTGAAAATGTAAAATCTGTGAAAAAAATCCCACTGCCAGTAAAAAAAAAGTATTAAAAAACTAGCAAATTATAATCAGAATTTATTTATTTTCATGTATGAAAAAGGGTAACAGATCAACATCATCTTGTCAGTTTTACACATAGATGGTACATTCCAATAACATTCTATGACAGCCTGAATTTCCTCTGTCGTCTTAAAAATTATCCATTTTTTTCTTAACCTTAACAACAAAAATGGTTATAAAAACACACTAAAAGTAATTGAATATTTATTTTCTAAACTTTATTTTAAATAAGAGATATATAGCTAAGTAACAGAGGGGGGAAATGGTATGGTCATGAGTCAAATGAAAAGATATTCTAATCCGAATTTCCTCCGGTCTATTTTTAAAAATCACCCCTAAATACATATATTGGCAATTGAGGCTATTCAACTTAATCAAAATTTTTCAATGTCAATTTGTTTGATAAAATATGTGAAAAACAAACTTTAAATAATACTTTTGAAGAAAAAATAAAGTTAAATTTTAAGAATTTTAAAATTTTCATTCAATTTCCGAATTTCCTATGCTTTTTTTTAACCTTAAACTTTTGAATGGATTCTTGGCGAATTAAACAAATAACACAAAATCATGATATAAAAATTTTCATAATTTTTTAAAGATTTTATATGTATACCTAATTTAGAAAATAACACTGACATATTTACACAGTTCAGGTGGAAAAAATGCACATTACAAATCCGAATTTCCTCTGAATCGTTTAAAATAACAAATTAATAATGTAAAATGTTTGCTTTAATAAAAACAAGAAATCTGTGAGCCAATGCTCACCAGTAATACCCCCGCTCTGATGTAAATAAGCACTATCATGTTAATATACACAAGTTCAATTACAGGCAGATGCACAGAAAAATACGAAGTTGACATCAGATTCATTTCAAAATTAATCCCACCATATGGCATGCCTAAACAAAAAGTGTAATAAAATTTCAAGCTATGAATAGCTAATGAGAAAACTGCGACGAAATAGACAGATGCACAGACAAACAGGAAGTTGATATGATTTGAAAAAAAAATGTATCTAAACATATGACATACCTTAGAGAAGATTGTGTTAAAATTTCAAGCATCTACAATTAGTAGTTGCAGAGAAAACTACGACAAAATTTTGTTATGTATGAAACGGACAGATGCACAGACAAACAGGAAGTTGACATCGGATTTGAGCAAAAATGTATCCCACCATATGGCATGCCTCAAAGAAGATCGTGTTAAAATTTCAAGCATCTATGATGAGTAGTTGCTGAGAAAACTGCGACGAAAATTTGTTTCAGACGGACACACAGACACACGGACACACAGACAGACAGATAGACACACAAGGGTAAAACAGTATACCCCTTCTTCTTCGGAGCGGGGGTATAAAAAAAATATATATCCATGGACTGACCTTTCCCTTCCATTTAATATAATATTTTTATCAATATGCCCTGAAAAACTGCTTAATCACGCCGGATATAGTTATGTTCCACTTGAAACAGTTATATTGCCCTCCCGAACACATTTATGTTCCCTTGTGTGCAATCATTCTGCGTATTAAATATGTCGGGTTCGAAATTTACAGAGGCAGTTGCTAAGCAAACGTAAACAGTTCTGCTAAAATTAAAAAGTCGGGACAACATCTGTGATTTGTTTATTTGAATTTTGATGAATTAAATAATTTGAGGAGAAAAAATCCTTAAATACAACAAAGGTTATCAACTTGTCAATATACTGAAAACTCTCTGCCATGAAACAGGACGGGATATTTCTTAATTATACTCAACCTTCATGTTTACATAGGCCTAGTGTTCAATAAATATGTTCGATGATCGATTAGGGTTCAATGACTAAAAATGTAATATACCATATATTACATGGCTTAATTTTCGGGCATTGATACCAGAATACTTGCCCCTCTATGACAGGAAAGCCCTGGAGTGTTATGTGGCCCTCTGCCTTCGGCATCGGGTTAGGTTTAGGGGTTAGGGTTAGGGTTAGGAATAGGGCTAAAAACGAAGATGCCCAATCTAGGTCATGAAAGTGAAAGTGAAAGTCTTTGAGAGAAAGTGAAAGTGAAAGTTACTGATAGTAGCAAAAGTAAAGGAAAAAGTAGAATTTTCCGAAGCTCATAACTTATCTTATTTATTATCAGATCAAGACGAGTTTGGTGTCGTTGGAAAGCTAAGAAACCGGACAATACTATGAAGGCAGAGTCATTAAACATAGGTTGCAGGAAAAGGAAAAGAAAAGGCTTCTTCTTTACCCCACAGATTGTGTTGAAAAATTGACAATTTCAGAATTTTTGACCATTTTCAATCTCCAAGATATCGCGAATGGTATGCAATTGACACATCCCAATTAACTTATTGAGACCCCACAAAAGGGACTCTTGGTAGTTGCAAAGAGTTGGCAAAACTGCTTTATCTTTCTAAAGATATGAAGGACTAAACATGCGGAAAATGAACAAAGGATTGGACACGGTAAGGGTAGGGTTAAGGTTAAGGGTAGGAATAGGGTCAAAAACGAACTATTTAGGACACAAAAGTGAAATTGAAAGTTGGGAAGTAGGAATTGAAAGTGAAAATAGGGAATTGAAAGTGAAAGTTGTGAAGCAATGAAGTACTCTTTGAAATGTGTATTAATTTGAATTGTTGTAACTTTGTTATTTATTTCTTAATTACGGCCGGTTTGATATCATTGGAAAGGTCTTACAAAGGATAACAATGTTAAATAAGTTTTGGTAGTTTTTATGTATTTTCTGTTGCCAAAAATGATTCATACCAATGCATTCAATGTATAGGGCTCATCAAGATTATTGGATGAAATATGTACTGGTTAGCTGTTTGCAATATCCATTGAAATAGAAGTAGGATTTATCTTATGTGCATCAGAGTTGTTTAAAAAAGGACTGGTCCTGTATTGAAGGTTGTTTTCTTTATTGAATCCAGTTGTGTCTCATTACCCCAGTAATATTGTTTTTGGTTAGGTTAGAATTGTTCTGTAATTCTCTGTTTCTATTAATAGCATATTAGAAAGAAAGGTCTAGATCCGGAAAATGTTTGACACAAAATAGGTTTATTCCCGTGAAATAGGGAAATCAAGTAATTCTTACCAACAGTTGGTTTACAGTAAATGAAATAGAAGATAATGGAAAGTAGTATTTCACACACTTTCTCATAGACAATAGCAAAGGTAGGCAAACTGTATGTACTTAAGACATTAAAATTTATTCCCGAAGTATATCTAGAATTTAACCAAAAAGCAGAATGTCCATATAATGCGTCAACTTTACTGAGTCATTTTAATTATCTGGTTATAAATGTGTTTCATAACAAGGTATGAAAAGTCAACACTTATAAACTTGAGTTTTACACTTGAAGCTGAATGTAGGTAAAGGTTATGAATATATATTTATAACTTTTCAGTACAGGTCAAGGTCAAAGGTCAAGGTCTAACATGAAGGTCAAAGGTCATGGTCATTTAAAGAAAGAAGCATATATAACCAATTTTCATACT